GAAGGCGCATTTCTGTACTAAAATTGCCCAAAGAAGTCTTCATTTTCTACTCCCTGGTAATGGTGCCAAGTATTGAATTTGCATGGAAAGAGATGATATTGCAAAGAGACACATTAGAATACATTTCACAAGCTATAAATTGCTTGTCAGAAGCTCTGTAAGCCTTGAAATGGACTCTGTCCTGAAGTGTCTCTTCTGCAGTGTGTGTTTACCTTCTTTTTCCCCACCTGCCAGTCTGTGCTTGTTCTGAAGGCACAGAGCCCTTCTCACTGGATGACTGTGAAGGGAGGTACATCTGGAGCTCCAAGTCAGCCCTTGAGCTTTTGAAACTGCCACTAACTCTTAATTCAGAGACCCTGCCTAAAGTTTTTGCTGCTTGTTCATGGTCAACACCCTAAAGCCCCCAAGATGTCTCCCTGGCTGTTCTGCATGCTTCCTGGGCTCCCTCCCTTTTCCCTGATAACAACAGCAACTGCCAGGAAGGGCTGGGAAAGGTATTCACCCACACTGTAAGGAATAGCTATGCCTCCTTAAATCCCTCACCCCAGCCAGGCAGGCCCTTAAGCTGACGGATGGGCATTCAGGAGAAGTCCAGGGCTTTCCTCTGAGATGGTTTGGGCAGTGCTTGGGGCTGTCTAGGGTTCCTCTTTTAACATGTGGCTCAGGTTGGTCATCCACAGCCCTGTGAAGGGAAGGCAAAGGGTTTTAAAGTTACGGTGCACTTCCTGGGTGTCAAGTATATCGTATACATTAGCTCAACAAATCCCCATAAAGCCGGCAAGTTAGGCGTTGGCCTCTATTTACATGGTAGGAGATGAGCTGAGGGAAGTTTTTGCCTGCTCCAAGTTACACAGCTAATAAAGCACTGAGCTTGGATTTGAAACAGTTAATTTGGCTCTGAAATCCAAAATCTTTTCTACCATCTCACTCCAATTACCTGGGAACCTGAGGTTACTACCAACAACTTCCAGAAGCTAGTCTGTCTTGGGTGCTCCCATCACAGGAGTTTAGTCTGCTGATGGACTTCATGTTCCAGGTGCTCCAGAATCCTTTGGTACATCACAGATTTATACTCAGTAATGACTCTCTCCCAGAATCTCCCAGGGAGCTGAAGCCTAGGGCTGGTACCTCTGGCCCTGTTGTGCTGTTACCCCTCCCTATTAACCTCAGAAGGGAAGGCACCACATTCAAGATGCCAAAGAAGAGACCCAGAGCCAGCAAACAAGCATGGGGTTTTATTGGGGCTGTTTAGGATTCCTCCCAATTTCTCAGGGCCCTTCAGGGAAGACTGCCAGGTCTGGCACTGTAAACAGATCATGGCATCCTTCTTCCTTAAGCAAAGAGGGTGAGTCCACTTCTAGCTGCTGTCTTCACAGGTTTTGCTGCTCTGAGAACCCCCAGCTAATGTGTGACTGGCACATCCAGCTTAGGGTCAGACTTCCAGACACTCAGAGCCCACAAGCCTCGCCCTGAAAAGAAGGGCAGGACCCTAGGGAGGGTCCTGATCCTCTGTCTTCACACTCTGAGAAGCCAGCCTTGTTTTATAGGCAGTCGGAGGGCGGGGGCGGGGGAGAACTTCCCAAAGCCCCTATTGATGCTTCTCCAGGGAGCTCAGGGAGGTTTCTGAGAAATGTATGGGCGGGGCTGTGTGCACTTCTCCAGCCTCTACACAGCCACTGCACACGCAGAAGCCCCACATGCAGACGTGCACTCACACACAGCTGACACTCACCAACATTGCCATCTCTCTCTCCCTCAATTCTGCCCTTCCTCCCTCTCTCCAGTCTCCGTTTTTCACGCTGTATGCTCTCACACACATCTTTCCTGCATACTGCACAGATCCTCTTCTCTCCTCCTCCTTTCTCCCTCTGCTCTCTCCCACTTGTCCTCCCCTCCTTCTCTTTCTCCTGCCACCTCAGTGCCTTCCCTCTCCCCATCTTTTTTTCTCACACATACATCCCCGTTTCTGTAACATACACATCCATGATATAGCCACTCTCTCTCACACACACACACTCACCCTTCACACTCCATACCATAGCACTCCACCATCTCCCCCTCCCCCAGGCTCCGGCACCCACTCCCCCAACCCTGAGCTTTCCGACCATGTCTGTCTGCTGTTCCTTCACAAGTTGGCCTTCGTAGGTTTTCTCAGGCCACTCTACCTCTACATATACCCCAGATGGCAGTCAAATCCTAAACTGGTGTTCCATCCTCAGAGAGCAGTCTCGCGCTCTCACAGAGTGCCTCAGATGAGAGGGCTGTGGTCAAAAAAAGGGAGTGACCTGGGCACAGTCACACAGCCACTGCGAAAGCAGTGGGGATGAGACCCAGCTCTCTGGACCTGTAGGGCAATATTTTCTCGTGTCTCTCTTCTCACTTGAAGTGCATCTCACACGTCCTGAATCCTCACTGTGTAGCAGCAGAGGTGCTGTGAGGATAAAGTCAAATTCAGCATGTGACAAAGGTAGCCTCATAAATCAATGTAGGGACTTGTGTGTGCGGGTGATTTTGAGTGCATGAGTTTGACTCCCCGCAACCACAGCAAAATGACCAAAGAAGTAGATCATTTTTAATGGATCTGTTTCGGCTCTGGATACAGGAATGGCCGCCCCAGGCCAGAATTCCTGCATGATGTTATGCAGAGGACTCCGTGGAGGGATACCTGGACCAGCCCCAGGGGAGCTGCTATGAGAGCAGCCTAAGCAGTGGGGTCTAGCCTGGCAGATTCCCCAGGGAATCTCAGAGCAGCATGGATCACAATGTGGCATTGGGCAAAGGCATCAGCATCTTTGAAATAATGAAAACTTTCTTTACCAGGCAAAATAACAACTGTAAGAAAAATCTGGGCACTCTGAGATGTAGTTTGGCAAAGCTTGTGCTGTTTGGCAAAGCCCCTAGTTTACTGTTTGGGTGAAGCAAAACGCTCCGCCCGTGGGTCCTAACTCCTCGCCTTCTGCATCAGCTTGCCTGGCTATCAGCAGCCCTGCCAGCAACTCAGAAAAAGGCTCCTCTGTTGCCATGGAGGCTTTTGACTTCTTCAGTGAACACTAGGCATTGACTCACTGCCTTTTCAAATGAAACCAACCACGACTGAAAAAAGAGAAAAGCTTATGGGAATAGGAAATTAATTGCTTTTCTGTATAATAACTAAAATTATTGAGAGCCACCTCCTTTACTGTTTGAAGCACTCAGCTACCCTCACAACAACTCCATGAGGCAGATATACTTTACCCATTTTACAAAAGCAGAAACTAAGGAAAGAGAGATCAAGTAACTTGCCCATGATCTCACAGCAAGGAAGTCAGAGCCAGGATTCATATCCAAGTATGCTGGCTCCAGGGTTGGCATTCTTATCCTCTGAACTACAGTGCCCTCAAAAAGAGTTCAGAAGTCTGTGGGCTTTCCAAAGAGTGGGTTCTAAGGTGCTCAGTTGAATCTTGGTCAGGTTTTTAATTTTGTTAGGAAAAAAAAAAAAAAGCCCCCTCTCAAAGCAATTTATTCAAGCCTTCTCTTGGGAGATATTTCTGGCTATATACAGATGGAGTAGAGCTTTCTATTCAAAGCCCTAAAGTCCACCATGGTGGGTAATGTTAAAATTAAAACACCCCTTCCTCCACCCACACGCACGAGATCTTTGGCCAGGCTCCCACTCTGGAGGTGGGGATTGGGAACAAATGTGCACAATTTCCATTCCTGAGGAAGTGTCCCACAGGGTGATACCAGAGCTCAGCGTCTCCTGAGTGTCTCTGTAGGCAGAAATCTTCAGAGGCATGGAAATGCTGCAGAACCCATTTGGTCATCCTGTCCGTTCAAGCTATTTGGACACTGGAAGGGGTACTTGTGATCCCCCATTGACAAAATGGACAGCAGGGGTGGAAAATGAGCTCAGTGACTTAACGAGAATGAAGTGTTGCTACAGGAATTCAGATGAAAGAGTGTTAGAGACATCTGGTGTTCCTCATCTGCTCCTCTGTGTCAAAGCAACCCCGGATACTCTGATCCAGGTTTAGTACTACACTCCCATGTAAATCAGAGTCATTAGCACTTTCACCATCAAAATGAAAAGTCAAAATGGATTAGCAGCTTGGATGACCTATGTTGGGCCTCATCAGAGACCATTCCATGATTTCAACTTGTTCTTCAAGTCAAACAGCAATTGCAGCCTTTTTGATATTTATATTTAAGTAGGAGTGCATTAACATTGTGTTTTATTTGCTGAATATAAATTCCTTTAGTTTTTTTTAAGAATTAAGGCTATTGATTTTTGTCTGAAAAGGAATGAGGCATTCACCTTTTCCAAGTCTTCATGTATATCCTGCATATGTGGTGAGAACCCATTTGTAATGCAATACATTCCATAAAAGTGTGAGCAGAATTTTGCATGTGTGCATTTGTCTGGAAAAGAGGGACCGATTGGTAGCGGCTGTAGTTAGTTGGCAGTGGGCAAGAAAGGGCTGATTTTTTTTCTTCCCTCTTTAACACTCTCTGTTTATCTGCAGATCCCTTTCTAACTAAGTTCTACATAAACAGTGTTGCTCCGTAAGCAAAGTGCCCTGGGTCTGCATGAATATTCTGAATCATGCATGCATACTCACAGAGGAAAGCTAGTGCTGCCAACCTCTTCACAATAAAGGCATATGCTTATTCGTTCTGATTAAATGTTCTGTCCCTTCTCTTTCTCAATTTTTCTGATCAAATATTCTGTCCCCTTTTCTTCTGGATGTGTGTATCTCTCTGTCTCTCTCACTCTGTGTGTGTGTGTGTGTGTGTGTGTGTGTGTGTGTGTGTGTGTGTGTCTGTCTGTCTGTCTGTCTGTCTGTCTGTCTTAGATCAGAGGCAAAATGACCTATAGCAATATCTGGGATTATTATTGACATTTTACAATCATTTGCAAAAATACAAAACAAACATCTGTCTCCAGGCATATATTATAAAGAGAGAGAGAGAGAGAGAGAGAAAGAGAGAGAGAGAGAGAGAGTGTGTGTGTGTGTGTGTGTGTACATTTGATTAGGAATTTCAAGTCAAGATTTCATGTTTGTTTCATTCAGCATCAGAATGAAATTTTGTCTGAAAAATCTATCTGGTTTTGGATAGAAAACAGATTGGCACAGCTGAGAACTGGCATTTGGAACTGCACTAGACAATCAACCAGTTATTCCTGTACAACTTTCTTTCTGGTGACCACCTGATTTTGCCCTGCCTATGTAGAAGAGAGGGGGACCCACATCAGAAGAGGATGGGTGTTGCAGGAAGCACATTTCAAGAAAGTGCCTATGTTTACAAAAAGCTAATGTGTTTCTTCCTCTTTTGAGATAGTTTCTTCATGATTTAAGTGGTCTGAGAAAAACATTACACATATTAGTAATAGTACTTTGCAGATGAGAGGGCGCTAATATTTGAGCACTATAATATGCAAAACATTATAATCCGATGGAGTACCAGCATGATATCTTTAGGTCCTTTCAACAAATTTATGAAATCAGGGTGAAGGTGAGAATTATAACCATTAGAACAAATAAAGATATTGAGGTTCATAGAAGCAAAATAATTTGCCTGTGGTCATGGGGCTAGGAAGTGGTCACATACTCTCCATCACAGTACATGTTTATACGTGCACCGGAGTCAACATGAATGGGGCCAAACAGATATACACACACTCTCGAGCTTGTCTTATACCATGGGGAGTGCACCAATTTGCCCTGCCCAGAGAAAGATCCCCTGAAATTTCTCTTTCAATTGTTCCCTTCCGTCTGTCCAGTCTCTTGCTGCTCTTTGAAGCATGTTTGTGTTAAGAACATTTATCCAAAGCAAACCTCATAGTCTGTGACTGACAAGAAAGCACATGATAAAACCATGTCTTTGGTTTTTCCGTATCACAGGATCTTGAATTTACAAAGCAAGAAAGTGAAAAAAAAAAGTAAAAATTCATGTAATATTTCCCCTACATATTGTATTAAACTGGGCAGCTTTAAATGAGGTTTGGTGCCTCTCCCTCCCTGTTGCACATGTGTTGATGGGTTTTTCTCAGCGTGGTTGTCTGAGATTTCACAGCTCTCTGTCACCTCCCTTCTGAAGCTGGTAATAGAAACGAGCCGTTCCTTCACTCTGGTATTGCTTTTCACCCAGAACCCTGTGTCTTTTCCTAAGAAGACTACCTGGCTTATCCTCTGTCTTTGGGCTTTTCTGGCCATGAGGACATAGAGTAAAGATTTTGGAGCTCTATCCTCTGTGTCCTGGCATTTAATTATTTCTCAAGACATGTGAGCTAAATCTGAGTGGAAGAGCTTGGCAGAAAGAAAGCCATCGGTTACGGTAATTTTAATAATTAAGCAACGTTGACTTGTCCTTTATTTCAAAATTTGCTATTATTGATTAGGTACTATAATCTTTCATTATACATTGTCTGATTGTTTTCATTGATGTTTTGCAATAGAATTAAGTCAATTTTGTCCTATTTTATGCACTTTTTAGCATTTTGCTTATGAATATCTGTGCAAACATTAAGAAATAAATCATAAAGGAAGAACATTTTAAACCATTGGCTCTATTTCAACAATATAGGTGGAGAAAGTATTTCTCCTCTCTTATTGACTGCTTTACAAAAACAGGTAGAATTTTGTTCTTTTATTGATAAAACAGAAACCTGATGTGGTGAGGGTTGTAGCATGGCTGCCTTCACTGCAGATGTGCTATCTCTGAAGCTGGGGCTGAACTTCTTAGTTTATTCCAACAGGGAGGGGGAAAGTCATGGGTGAGCTTAAGAACATTGACTTACTTCAAGCTAACCCAACATACATGTTTTTTGAGCAGTAACTGATGAGACATATATGTTCTAGGAAATTTCACTGTGTAAGCTTGGATTTCACAAAGAGTCCACAGCATGATACTATACCCATTACCCAGGAGGGACATTACGAGATTTCTTAGGGTCCTGAAAGATCCAAGGACTTCATTCTTACTTACTTAGCTGTATTTTAATTCATGAATGTATAGACTTTAAAACATCAAATAATCCTTTTGATTTAGTGAAAAGAAAAAATAGCTCCTCACCCCATTCCACCCCATCTGTGCTACTTATACACCACTTTCAGCTTTTAGTTTCTTTCAATATCTACCTCCAAATTTCTAAGTAGTATTCTTAACCTTTTTGTTCTTAGAGTTTATACCTTTATTTTCTTCTATGAAAAGGTTTTGTTTTCAGTACCTCCATCCTCCTCAACATATTCACATCCCCCTTTCCTCCATTCTCCCAGTATATCTATAATGTAGTCTTTGTTACATCAGTTTTCAGTGTTTTATTATTATAAGCATAAAAGGCAGGTTTCTGCTGTTGCTGTTGAGTCAATCTGATATTTGATCCTTTGTATGTGGCTTTTTCCCCTCTTTGAAAGTTTCTAGGATTTTTCCTTTGGTCTCAATGTTATAAAATTTCACCAGTGTGCTTTCCTTTGGGTCTTTATTTCTGACACTGTATGTGAGCTCTTGGAGACCCATTTCATTCTGGATAGCTTTTCAGGCTTGAGAAACTTTCTTCAATTACATCTTTGATTATTTTATTTCTTCCATTTCTTTGTTTCTTCCGAGTGAAGATGCTAAACCTCCAAGATTAATTCTCTAGTTTTCATTTTTCATCTTTTTTCCTCTCTTTGTCCTGTTTTCTGGAAAATATCCTCAATTTTATCATCAATCCTATCAAGTGCTTAATTTACACAATAATTTTGATTTCTGAGAGTTATTTTTGTTTCTCTGTTCCCTTTACTATGTAATGCTGTTGCCTCATACCTGCAATATATTCTCTTAATATATTTTGAAGTTTTTTTCTTCTTTGACTGTGTTTATTCTGTTTGTTTTGGTATTTGTCTTCAACTATAGCGACTTTGCTCAAGAAGCCAATGACCCAGGACTGGCAGTTTATCTTTAAAAGTGGTGCACTGAAAGCTGATTTGGGGGTCAGTGGGCCTTAATAGAGCTTATTGACTGGTTGGCTTCAGCCTAGGATGATCTGGCTGGACTATTTACTGGGAGAACTGTCACCAAGCCTTTTTCTTTAGAGCTGGTTAGTTTCCCCAGAGAGGAATGCTCCAGTCTCCTACTGGGAATGTAGGTCTGCTAGTTCAGGGGCACCCAGTGACAGATGGGGTCCAAGGCCAAACCCAGTACTTACTTATATGTTTCCTGTGGGTGCCCCTGCCCTTGAATGTGCCTGAAGCCCTGGTCTCAGAGTCCCTTTTTGCTAGCCTTTCTAAGGAGTAAACCTCAAGTCTTCTGCTGAGATGAATGAGGGAAGTCTCCTGCCTAAACACAAAATAAAAGGTGACCTGGAGGCCAAATATTTCATCTACCTGCATTCTCACTTCCAAAGGTTACTGATGCTTATAATTCCTGAGCCTTGATGGGCCTCTGATATGTGAATCAGGCTCCCCACTGCAACATTAGGATTTAGCTTCTTCAGGGTGTTGAGTTATTGCTTATGCTTCACCTACTTTCCAGCTTCCCAGATGTTATTGCTGTGGCCCCATAGGAGTTTTGACTTTTGTATCTTATTTGTATTTTAATGAGATTTAGGAGAGAATATAGGTAAATGTGCAGGTTTAATTTGCCTTGTTCAAGTGGAAGCCCAATCCTTTACTCCTGGTTCCAGTGGTGGCATTTGGGCCAGATGAGGATGTCCCTGGGAAACTGCAACAACAATGTCAGGTTGTAGAAGTGATACAAGATGTGATTTCTCTCTAGCAGCCAAGAGGATTACCTCTGGCATCTCAGAGTTAGGCATGTACACCCTGGAGAAGGATGGTGCTGAGTGAGGCCTGATAGGGGATTCAGCAATGGATTGCAAACTTATTTTGACCCATATTAAGAAGTTCCATTTAACCTCACAATCGAAGAGGCAGATACCTACACACTCCTACAAATGAAACTATACAGAAGAGCAAAAGTTTGGCAAAACAGTACTAACCCCTTCTACGGGCTAAGCACTCAGGTGTTTCTATTTAAGTTGTTTGTGTGTTTTCAGTGATGGTCTTGACCCACTAATGTGTCACAAGCAGAAGACTGAAAATCAGTGTCACTTGAGGTGACATCCAGAAACCTGCAGTATATCACTATTGTCATCTTTCTGCTCTAAAACTTTGCAGGATTCTCCATCAACCTCTGAATATTACATTCAAGGCCTTCAGCATCTGGCTCCGACTTGCCTGTCAAAACACTTCCCACAATGTGCCCACCTGGTATATGTGGTATATGTGCTTTTCACAGCAGTGGTTGGCCTGCTTTCTGCCTTCCTCCCTGCCTGTACTTTAAGCTCACCAAGCCTTTTAAGATAGCATTTTCTCTGCCTGGGCACCCTTGCGCCACTGCCTGCCTCAAGAGAGTGCTACATACACTTTAAGACCCAAATGAAATGGCAGAACGCCTGTGAACTTTCTCTAATGTACACACTCAGAATCTTGGGAACCTTGGGGTCAGAAAGGGAGTGAATGTTTTTCGTTTGTATTGTGAAGATAAACTCTGGCCACAGAAGAACAGGTGGTAAATTAGGAAAACACCAAAGAGAAAATTTTGATATAAAATTGGGTTATTAATTGGCAGGAATTATCTAGTAACTTTTCCTACAGAGCAATGTTTTTATGTAAAAATAATTTCTAGAATGTTTATAGCATGCCATCATAATATATGGTAAAGATATACTTTAAGCCTTACTAAGCAATACCCTATTATTAGATATATAATTTTATAACTACTTTTATGACTCACTATGAAGAACTACTTTGTGCACATCTTTGTATATAAGTCTAAATACCTGTAAGTACTTTGATTGGATTCTTGATGCATACCACCAAGTCTCTCTCCTGAAAGAAAAGATCAGTTCAAACCCCATGTGCAGGAGAATGCCTGTTGGGCTACATAGTGGCCACTTCTAGGTATTGTCATTTTTTAAATACCATGTCTGCGGTAGTTTTAAATTTTAGTAAGATAATATATCTTAATGTTTATTTTATGGTTCCTACTTTTAGTGTCATGCTTAGAAAGAACTTCCAGAAACTCAAAACATAAACCATTTTTTGCTAGAATTTAAAGTCACCCCAAATAATATTCTCCATTTTCTCAATGAGATGATGAACAAAAGTAGAATTCTTATGTCCATCTTTGATACCTAAACTTTTAGAGGTATAGGTGGAATAATCAATGTCTACTAATATAGTGACAGGCACACTTCTAAAGTCATTCATTATGTATAGTCATATATTAATTGAAAACTGTTGTCATTTTTCTTTTCTCATTTCATGAACCAGTTTTACTCAAACTCTTGGTTTGTATCTTCAGTGTCAACATTCTCATCATCATCAGACCCACTCTGAGTCATGTAACACAGTTTTCCTGGCACAGCAGGTGCATTTCCGTCTGAGTTATTTTTAATCTACACGTACATAATTCTGTCAGTGAGATTTTTAATCCAAGTCACAAATAGATGATCTTATAACATTAGTTTCTAAACTTGTCTTGAATGCGTATATTGTTCTTGATAATAAGACAACTTATACTGTGCTTTATTTTTACATTGTTATATTTACTAAAGATATATTTGCACAGTGCTTAAGGAGTCACTTGTTTTTAAAAAAAAAAAAAAAAAGTCTTTCAACTTTTTCACATTTTCTTTTTCTTCTCTTTTTTTCATCCCTCTTCTCTCAGCCCCACCCCATTGCCCAAAACCATTTTAACTCTTTCACTGATTTTCATGACAACATTTTCCTCTATGTAGGTGCAAGATGTATATCTATATAGGTTGCCTGTATTGCTCCTTGCTAATTATTTAGTTTTAGGCATTATCTGTTATACAAGAATTTAGCCTCTTCCACCTCATCCTCCCTCACTTCCCATTCCCATACCTTTCAGTAAAGCCACATTTACATTATTATATCTGTGTAAATGCTATTATGTCTATATAAATGCTTCCCGGCTGAGCCAGCTACTAAATTGTGGTTAATATTTTTCTGCCTTAAAGTAAAATTTTTAAGTTGTTAAATAAGTCCATTCTTGCATTGCTATAAAGAAATACCTGAGACTGGGTAATTGATAAAGAAAAGAGATTTAATTGGCTCATGGTTCTGCAGGCTGTACAGGAAATATGGTGGCATCTGCTTCTGGGGAGGCCTCAGGGAGCTTTTACTCATGGGAAGGCAAAGCTGGAGTAGGCATCTTATTTGGCAAGAGCAGGACTAAGAGAGAAGAGGTGCCACACACTTGTAAACAACCAGATCTTGTGAGAACTCACCCACTATACAGTACTGTATTAGTCCATTCTCACACTGCTG